GGGACCGAGGGCCCGGGGCCGGCCTGCCGCTGCGCCCTCTCCTCGGCGGATCTGGCTCTTCCCCCTCGCCCCCTTTCTCCTTCCACACTCCCTGCCGTCCATCTTGAATACTTGGGATTCTTGAATGGAGTGAGCAGGATCCGCTCCCCCAGGCTCTCATTGGCTGTGGGTTAACCCTTTTGAAACGAGATCCTCCCTCCCATTGGCTGCCAGGCTCCCCTCTTCTCCCCCAACCCCCATCCCCTCCGCCTCCCAACAGCCCGCGAGGTCAGGGCGCTCCCGGGCGCCCCCTCCCCTGGCCTCTCACCCCCACATCCCTGCCCCAGGACGCCCCATTCCCTGCTCTTTCCATCACACCCCCCCACAGGGCTGCAGGTGAAGGCGGATCCAGTTCCCGCCAAATGCGGCCCCAAGATTGGGCTGGCAGAAACCTTGTTCCCAGATGCCCCTCGTGCTGGACTTGGAGCCCCTGGAAGATGGAAGGGGTGCAATTTCCTGTCCCCCTCCTACGCCTCCTTGACTAGCGGTACCTCTCCACGAGGGAAGCCATGCAGCCTGTTAGCCTCACCCAGAGAGCGCTCCTGAACCCACCGGCCTCCGCGGCTGGCCGGCCAGAGGGTCGGGGAAAGAAGATCTGAGGCTCTTCAGAGAAGCTAATTCCCTGAGTGCCAGGGGGCAGGTCTGACCCTACGAGGAATGTGCAGCATCTGGAGCTCTGCGCGGTCATAAACATCCCCTGGGACCAGCCGGGCCGCCTGGCCCAAGCGCTGGGCCTAGTAGGGGCTCTGAGTTGGGAGCCCAGAGAGGCATGGAGGAAGGAGGCGGCAGGGAATGGAACAGCGAGTCAGGCCTGGGGGTCGGCGTGCCTTTTCTCTAGGCCCAGATCTGCTCATGACATGCTAGGCCGGGTCATACCCGGTCTCTGGGCCTCGATTTTCTCATATGCAAAAGATTGGTCTAGAAAAGTGCTGTCCTGTAGAAGTTTGTGTGTGGAGATGGAAATGTGCTGTAGATGCGTCATCCGATACAGTAGCCACTAGCCACATGTGGAAACTGAGCACTTGAAATGTAGCTACTGTGACTGAGGAACTGGCCTTTTAATTTTAATTTTAATTTTAATTTTAAATAGCCACATGTAGCCAGAGGCTACCCAATTGGCCAGTGCAAGTCTAGAATCCTTGTTGTCCGGATGGTGAAGAACATCTAGGATTCTTGTTGGGGGGGAAAAAAATTCTCTTTGTCCTCAGGTACAAAATCCTCCAAGTCACACATCACCAAAGGCATCGACACCCAGGTGAGGTTCAAATCCCCGCCTCCTAGGTCAGGAATGCTCACGTCTGCCATCTCTGTTCTGACAAGGGAGCCAGGACGCACACACCCGCGACACGAAGATTCGGGCTTGCAGGGAATCTGCAGGTTTGCCCAACCTTCTTGATTTTTGAAGGATAGAAACCAAGATATTGACAGGGTTGAGGATGCGGGGGTGTCACTTGCCCGAGGGCAAGTAGCAAGTTATGTTTGCCTACAAGTTAACGTGTACCCATAAACTTAAGTACTTCTCTTTGGGGCTCTGCATGCCCCCACACATCCTCATTAAGTTCATTCAATAAATGCACGTCTCCAACCCAGGACAAATGGTTGACACCAAGGCAGAGCCAACTCCATGGGAGGGTCAGATAGGCCCTCTGAGCAGCATGTGACAACCAAGAGCTCTTGGGTATGCTAAATTACAAGTTTGCGGACAGCCTGGATCCCACTCCCTGGATCAATGTGTTTGAGAGACATTCTGCTGGCATTCCACACCGTGAGGAAAGGAAGCCGTGGAGCAGGTGAAGACTGCTCTGGGTTCATCCTTGGACTGACCAGGAAGCAGAATGAGCAAGGGGCCAGGGCTACTGGAGGTGGGGAGATGCAAAGTGTCCAGGATTCTGGGAACTACAGGTTAGGACTGATGCATATGGGGTCCTAACCTAGCAGCGAGAGAACTGCCACAGGGAGCTAGTAAAGGGGACACCACAAAAGCCAGAGCTCATACAGTATTTGTCCAGTTCCCACTTCCTGAGGGCCTCTGCCTGGGTCATGTGCTGTGGGGAAGGGGAAGACGCAGAGCTGCCTGGGGAATGGCTTTCGTTCTCAGTATTTCTTTACTACTACCCAGTATTTCTTTACTAGGTAAAAATTGCTAAATGATTTCTCTGGTGACAGATAAAATGTTCAGAGGAGGGAAGGACTGCTCCCCATGGAGAGTGGAATCTAAGAAGGCTTCCTAGAGAAAGTAGCATCTAAGACGTGGAGAATAGAAGGAAGATGGGGAAATGCCAAGAAGAAGAAGCAACACACAGGCTGAAAGGCGGGAAAACGGCGGGATGTGTTCAGGATGAATGGAAATTCGGTGCGAACCTGGGATGTACGAAAGGGAATGTAGCAAGGATGGACAGGCGGGCCGGGACAGGTTGCGAGGTCTTGAACACTTCCATCTATCCTCTGCTCACCGCCAGTGACATCATTTTTCTTGAAGATGCCCTTATCCTTTTCCTTGCCAAGAGACACCTCCCACCCCTTCCTCCAGCAACCCCAATGCCTCCACCCTCAGTTCTCTGCCGCTTCTGCCTTCGTTTGCAGGCCCCTGTCTGTGTTCCACAAGCATCCTTCCCAGGGCAGAGAGGACTCCAGTTCTCCATCAGGGAATGGACTCTCCGTGGTCCTTCTCTGATCGGTCTCCAGCCTCTGGACTCCTCCTGCCCAGGCATGAGCTGCACAGAGAGGGCTTCCTTTTTCACTCTCCACCTTGCAAATCCCTCTTCGGCCCCAACCCTTCTCGGGAAAGTCGATAATGGAGGCCAGGAACAGCTAGACATGGTCCAACCTGTTATAAGAGTGTAAAAAAAAAAATGGGCCCAAAGCTATCTGGCTCCTAGCCACCCCACCTCACCTTCGCCATCCCACCCCACCTCTGCGTCCTTCCCTCCTCCTCTGGGAGTTCCATAATGCTCCTGGGCTTTGCAGTAGCCTCCTTTCCCTGCCGTCCCCACAGCCAGTCCAGGACCATTCTGGAGGTACCCGATTTGCCTTCCTTCCCAACCCCCAGAGTCCTACCCAGATCTCTCTCTGGGTACATCACATAGCATGCTGTAATTGTGAGACGAGAAGACCTCTGTCTCTCTGAAGGACTGAATCTGAAACCTTGGAGGACAGTTGACTCCCTGCTTAAACAACAGAGGTAACTTGGTTGGTGATCATGTGGCTCCTAATTCACTGAGATGATGGAGGCCTGTCCCTGAGAGTCTCTTCAGTTTCCCCTTCCTTCCACAATAAGGCACCTCTGCATCCTTATCGTCCTGCGTCTCTCAGCCACTTGTGTGTCTGAGCACTTGCTGTGTGGAAGGCTCTGGAATCATTGCTGGGAAACACTGCTGGCCCAGAGGTGCTCACAGTCAAGGAGTACAAGGCAGACGCACGAAGAGGAAGTCAGACTGCAACAGTGCCAAGAACCTCCTTTCTGGGGCAAACCCGTTTCCTTGAGGTCTTGATCCTATTCTTGCTTTACCAATTGCCCCACTTATTGCATCTCCAATCCCTTTCTGTGAGCCTAGAGCAGGGGTCCCCAAGCTACGGCCCACAGGCCAAATCCAGCCCTCTGCCAGTTTGTTGTAAATAAAGTTCATTGGAACACAGCCATGTCATTTGGTTACGTACTGTCTCTGCCTGCTTTCGCCCTACAAAGGCAGAGTTGAGTGGTAGAGACAAGACTCTACGGCCAGCAAAGCCTAGGACATTTACTAATTGGCTCTTTACAACAAAAGTTTGCCAACATCTAGTTTGCGGGCAGTTTTGGGCCCTGTTACCTCAGAAAGATGTAATAGAACTCAAGAAAGGCAACTGAAATGACCTTGAGATGGGAATGGAAGGACACAGCCCAGACTTTTCCCTCGGCCTACACATAAGCTCAAGTCTTCCCACAACCTACCATGAAACTTCTCGCAATGCTAGTTGGCTTTTGACATCTCTCCTTCATGTCCCACCCATTCTTAAACCCAGGCAGGTTGGCTTCTGCCCCTAATTTCCACTGAAAATGGTTCCCCCTAGGACCACCAGTGACATCCTCATTATTGACCCAGCATTCTTTCCCGAGTCCTCATCGCACACAACCTCTCTTTAGCATTAGTCTCCATTGCCCACTGTTTCTGGATTGGATTGCCTCTTACCTCTCCAACTCTTCCTTCTCAGGTCCCTTCCCACGGGTCTTCTACCCCCGTTGCCTGAATGTAAACATTCTACAAGGATTTTTCCTTGACCCTCTTCTCCCTCCATACCTTCTCACTGGACAAAATCATTCATATGCCTGAGTTCAACAGTCACTTCTATGTTGGTGGCTTCCTAATATACAACTTCTGAACCGAAGGTGCCCCGATTTCTAACATGTCTTAGTGACGAGACGAGCCAAATTTGTCCATCATCAAATGTGTCTTCCTACACCTCTGTCCTCACCTAATCACCTTTGCCTCTTCCATTTGCCCCTTAATTGTTGCCATTCTCGAGAGATCTGCCTCTGACCCTTCTATCTTTGGGGGCAATTCCATCCATTCTTACAATTTCAACATGACTGGCCATGAATCATGCCAAATCTACATCTCCAGGTGTGTTTGCAACTGCCTCCTAAATAGATGTGTGAGGTAGACACCTGGTACCTATGCCTGCCCAGACTCCATTCCCCTTCTGGTAACTACACTTTAACTTTCCTTTGGGGAGACACCTATTACTTTTAGTCCCTGTGGTTGACATGAGGCTGACCCCATCTGCCCCTTCAGGGGCAGTCACACGGCCCAGGTATATTAGTTGTCTATTGCTGTGTAACAAATTAGTCCAAACCATAGTGGCTTAAGACAACACACATTTAT